TTTAAAATGTGTTTACATAATAATTTACTGTAAAAGTATTTACAAATTATGGCATAATTAGCATAGACCTTATCAACATATGTAATCACGAAGTCATTTTGGATATTTTCTATTGATGATTTAAGATCTTTATACATAATTTCATTTTCAACAGTGAAATCTAATTCCCGAATTTCTGTTGCTACATAAAACCTAAATTGATTGAATGCTTCAATCGGCATTCCGTATTTAATTGCAATTTTAAGGTAGAATTTATCTAAATCTTTTATGATTTATTTCATAACGTTAGATTTATTTTTTGTGATCATCAGTCTAAAACCGGTACCTTTTTCCATAAAATTTCTTAACAAATCATCTTTCACGATGCTAAGGTCTCCTGTGACAACGTGCTGATGATAATCATCAATATAGTCTCGATATAGATTGCCTTTGCATGATTCTGAACTTAGGAGCTCCGAGATTTGATTATAATTAAATATAAATCTACCAAGTTTCTTGTTGTATTTGAAAGCCTTTTTAATAATAATATTTTTAATAGGAAAAAAGGATTGATATTTTTGAAATATACTTGAAAAATTAACTTTGTTAAAGGATTTATTCATAAATATATAATATTGTACAATATTCTGTAGAGTAATTTTCTCTTGCATCTAATTTAATATTCATTTTTTGTACTAAATAGTTATTAAGGTCTCGAATCATATGCATACCAAGAGAATCCTGAAATTTATATCTGCTTAAAATATCTGTCATAATTTTAATTTCAGCTTTATTCACACATGCCAAACATAAATGATTTAATTAAGCCTGTGTTGTAGTTATCATCAAATTTAACAGCTAATTCTAACATAGAATTCTTGAGGGTTGACATGTCTCTAGTAACTCTTTTTCTACGTTTAGCTCTTGAAATTCTCGCTAAACGAATATTATTACTATTATCAATAGATTTATCAAAATTCGAATATATAATGAATCCTCGGATTTTTGTAATGTATATATATGTATATGTATATATATATATATATATATATATATATATATATCATAATAATAATATAATTATGATTTCCAGACAAAGAGTTTACAAAAGAATCAGGAAGGATGTTCTGTAGACTAAGTGCTCAACTACTCACGTGTCTTTGACTTGTTTGTGAAAGAAAGTCCATTTTCTATTAAGTCAAGAGCTCCAGGACTGGATATACAGTTAATGAAACTATGTGAAGCTCTCCGACGACTCACAGTTCAGTTTTCATGAATAATTCTCCATTCAGTACAGTCTGGAGAGAATTCGAAGTACGTTGCTATCTTCACAACGGTCAAAGAATGATGTCAGTATCGTGGTGTTGGTCTTTTGGTATAGGAGAGTAAAAAAGATAAAAAAAATTGTCGCACTCACACGTTTTCGACGGATGAGTAAGCGTTTATTAATGTCATACAATAGAGAAACCGGAAGACTCTATTTGCGACGGACCTCGTAATTTCAAATCATGATCGACACCATCGGGAAGGACCCTGAGCCTCGACAGATTTAACGAGTATCAGCCTCTTTACACAGTTGGTCTTCAGTGACACGAAGGTTCCAACTCATAATACCACATTTTCGGGTGGAGTTTCTGTTAATAGAACGAAGTACAGAAATGAGATTCTAGAAAGCTCATAGCCATTCTTTTCTGAGATGGTAAGAGTCCACAGTTTTATTTATAGATGACAACGCAACATTCAAACCTTCTCAACTGTAGAGGAATATCATGAAATTGAATATATCCATCGCATTCAACAGCAAGCGAAATCTGTGACTTAAATTCAATTAAGAATGTGTGGGACGCATTTGACGAAGAATCTCAGACTGTCAACCTCCAGTAAGGGGAATTATTGAGCTCAAAACCAATCTGCTCCAAGACTGCCAGAATCCTCACAATTGATCCAGACTCATATTCAAAGCATGAAATATTGCTGTTATGCTTGTATTGCAGCAAAAAGAGCTGAACAACGTTAATACTATTTCTTTTCTAACAATAATTGTCAAATTTCCTGCCTTTTCATCATTTTATCTCAAGCAATAAATTTACTTTCAAGCATTCTTCAATTGTGCATTTTATTTGTAATAGTATCATAATTAAATATATCAAACTACATTTTACATTCTGTCCTTTATATTGCATTTAATTAAAAAATAAGCATTATGCTTTAACTTTATCAGTGTACATATACAGCGAAATACTTTTAACGCGAAAACTCTCCAGATGAAATATCGGTTAACACAAAAAAATACAACGGTCCCTACAAACAACTATGTAATTTCCTGCATTTTTTCTCTTAACACGAAACGAAAATCGCTTAACTCAAAAAAAATTCCATTCTGGGAATGGACAAAATACGGGAAACACCAGCCACGCAAGTTCAACATCAGAATTTGTTGCAGTAGATATTAATAATGTTTTTATAGCCCCAATTATGGCAAACAAAGATATTTCAAAGTTTGTTCATAGCTAAAAAATATCACTGATACAGTTCCGATGATGAATAATACAGCTCCTGTTCCTATGTCATCCGAAATGAGGAATATCATGAAAAGTATGTGCGGTTATTAAGACTCGCATTCCAATGATGAAATGAATAACAAGATGTGATGTTCCCCTCCTTGGGAGAATATCTCTCGGAATGTCAGTGTGAGCTAGAGGTGTAGGATTAACGAAAGAACTAGAAGGAATCATTATCTTAATAAAACTTTATTAAGACATTCAACTTAAACCTTTAACAAATTAAATTATAATAATTAATGTGAGAGAATTTACGATGGAAAAATACGCAACACACAATATATATATATAATAAGCAACTTAATCTAATTCAGACCACTATCAATAACTGAACCGCCTAAACTCGGTTCTAATTCAATCTTTGATTCTAATATTAAATAGTCAATCCTACCTTATTGCAGTTTGAATAATCCATCAATATTGTCTTATTCTCAATCTTGTCTTTATTTGCATGCACTGGTGTGCAACTTGAATTCCATATATTCAATCACTTATAACTTCTAATTACCGTCACGTAAAGCTCATTCAGACTTGAAACACGATTCCTCTATTGGACATCAACTACCGCCAATTTCCATCCACTATCACAAATTGCCATACATTGTCATCAATTGCCCTACATTGCCATCACGTTTACTCTAAGTTCCGATACTTAAAAGCTTGTTTTCATTTGCCTCTTTCATTCACACTTCACTTCTTGGATTTGGCTGGAAAAGAGTTGCCATTAATTCTGGCCCAAAGAACCCAAAGGACATGTTAAAGAAAAGACGAGTGAGCCCGTCACAAAGATATACGACATCAAACAATTAGTTGACATTTTGAGGCTAAAAAAGACAATGAAAAAAAAGTATCAGATCACTTTCCAAAACTCAATAAATGTACTGTTTTTCGAAACCTTAAAAATTTTGCATTCAATTTCATTGTGAATGTTTTTGTTTCATTGATTTTTATTAAATATATACATATCTATATGTAAATAGAATATACTCTAATAAACTTAATTTTTTTGAAAACAGGATTTTTCTTTGCAATATTATTTAACACGAAAAAATATTTCAGTCCCCTCAATTTCGTGTTAAACGATTTTCACTGCATGTGGCTAAAAAATACATATTTCCAAAATAACAAAGCAAAAAATTCTAATTCTGAGTGAAAAGGCTTGAGGGCAAAAACTGACGGTCCAAGTGTTAACAATATTCTAAAGAAAAAAAATTATCTATATATGATAAAAAATCAATCTAATAAAATAATAATAAATTCAAAACCTTCCAAAAAATGGAAATGAATCTTTTTCATATTTGCTATAATCTTAGATATCGATCAAATTCCACAAAGAAACGCAGAGAACGATAATTCTTTTTGACTCTACAAGGAGTTTTTCAGGCGGAAATGTGGCTTTGCAACTTGAATGAATTTATCACAAAAGACACCCAAAAAAAGATTGTCCATTGTTTGCACACAGTCACGCGGAAAACAAATTGTCAACAGTCTTTTCAATGTTTCTTCTCTGAAAGTTCAAGATTAAAAAAAACCGCACACATTAAAGCACGTGGTTTTATTCTTCCTTAAGTGAAAAATGGGAAAGAAACTGTCTGAAACACAGAATAATGTACGCTTGAATAAACTTTTAAGCATTATAAATATTCTATTCCTTTTTAAAGATAGTTTTATTTTGTAATGGAGGGGACAGTTAATTTTATACCTTATTGGATATGTAAAATAATGTAATAATAATACAATAAAAAGAGAAATTTAACAAGAAAGAATGAATATGTGTAATTTAATTAGTTGGACTTAATTATTTAGGAACAATATGCTTTTCTAACGTATTATTTGAAACTATTGCAACCGAAATAAGTGTTATGATAAAAATTGATGTTATGATACAAATTTCTTTTTTAAATAGTTAACTGTGATTTTCGAGTATACTCAGTATGGAAAAGTTGTAGGATTTTGTGTCGAATATACTCGTCCCTCGTAAGAAGTAGTGACAATTGGCTATTTGAATTGTAATTCTTCTGAAAAACAAAGCATATTCTCAAATTTTAAGATATTTGGAATATTTTGAGGCCAGACCAGAGTAAAACAAATGAATAAAAAAACATGAAAAATTTAAGATGAACCCATGTGTCCCCGTAATGCACCGGCTGAAACAGCGTATAAATTCGCATAACAAACTTATTCGTGTGCGATCTTAATGATTTTTCACAATTCTATACTATTAGTTCACAATCTCCGTATATATATATATATATATTGTTCAAATTTTCAATCTTTAATATAATACTTTCTATTCATCCATTCAAGTTCAAATTCCTTTTTTTAAACGTAGTGGATGACACTTGATGTTAATACAGGTTTTTCAAATATTAATTCATTAATTAAATTTAAAAAATGAGTAAATAGTAACAAAAAAATAATAGTCAAACACCATTTATAGAAAGAAAAATTGCTCGTTGTGTCCCTGTAGTGCATTGGATAGCACGTTGGACATATAATCCAAAGGTTGTGGTTTCGAATTCTACCTAGGATGACCTAATTTCTGAGAATGTGATTTATGAATGAATGAATAGTGACCAAAAAACAAAAATAATAGTCCGACACCATACATAGAAAGGAAAATCGCTTTCTATTTTGCCACTCAATGTTATGATTCTGTCATATGTATCTATACATATTTATATTAATTATAACACTTTTGATAAAAAGCAACTAAAATAAAAATTTTCTTTGTTGACCTAAGTAGGAATTCAATTAAAATTTTTTCTTTCACATTTTTTGTTAGATGTTAACTTAAAAAGGAAGTCGGAAAATTGATTTATAATAGGGTTCCTTCAGATATGGTCAGCCATGGGACAAATGGGCCCATGGATAGTTGTTGGCCCGAAGTTACCTAGCTATTGAGTGGTGTAAAGGCTAATTGTTTGATGTTAGAACTATCAGCTGACTCTAGAGCAGGGGTCTATGCCGTGCTGCCGAAAAACAGTTATTTTATTGAGGTGGGAAAAGCAAGGGACTGGGATCATCTTTACAGCACCTACTCCAGAACTTTCTTAGTGTCAAGACAGGCATAAAACATTTTGTCGTCAGTAAAGAAGGAAGTAAATCAGGGCATCTTCAGTTCTCTCAGTAAGGGAATTTTAATGGTCACTTAAATTCATAGATAACCTTAAAATTTACGGTCGGAAGGACCACTGTCCTCAGGAATCCACGACCAAGCTAAATTACTTTATAGTCCCGTACACAGATCCTCCCCCCGTACAATAAGTGTTAGCAAATAAATTGACAATTTTATGAAATAAACCCATATTTTTAATCCAATATTTTCTATGATCGACGAGTATACTCGTCATCGCTCGATTTCCGTGACACGCATAATTGCGCGCTTTCAAACTTTAATGCCCCAATTAACTGGTTACATTCGAATGACAGCAACAGATTACCGAAATTGTAACTGAGATTGTAACTGGATTTGTGAAATTGGATTTTGTAATGAAATATAAAAAAAAATTATCTAACCTTTTTTTTATTTATTAATTCCTACTATTAGATCACACTCTCTATATATTTATTTATTTATCTTCGTGGAATTTTCAATCGTTAATAAAATGCATTTTAAAGCGCTCAATTGAGGTGAAATTTTATATACATGATTATTTTGGATGACAATACAATAATTTAAATATAATTAATACAAATTCATTGATTAAAATTAATTATTTAAAGACTTACAAATTCATCTACGTTGGCATCATTTTTGGCGACTTGTGTCAAAACTTGAAAAGGTTTTTTTTTCTCACGTTTTAAAGCATTCTGCTGAACTGAAATTTTATATACACGATTGTTTTGGATGACAATACGATACTTTAATGATAATTAATAAAAATTAATGACCTCTTAATGTTGTGATTCTCTCCTATGTATATACATATTTATATTAATTGTAACAATTTAATAAAAAGTAGCTAAAATAAAATTTTTAATGATCTAAGTATGAATTGAATTAAAACTTTTTTTTATATTACTTGTTAATAAAATTTTTTAATGATCTAAGTATGAATTGAATTAAAACTTTTTTTATATTACTTGTTAATTATATTTTTCTTCAGAAAACACATGCATTATATTTAAATAAATTTAACTTACTCATTTAAAAAACCAATCAATATATTATCATTAGAATATTTTCAAAGGAATAGAAAAAGGACTTTAAGGAGACCCTGAAGCAATATTTAATTATATAAAACTGCATAAATATACCTTAGGCTAAAGTCGAGAAACTTATTTTCCTTAATTTTCCGACAAAGAGAAAATATCACAAATATCTTTTTTCTAGATTATCATAATTATGCAAATTAATTTCAAGACTTTTTTTCTAACTAGAAAATTAATTAATATTTTAGTTACTTTTGAATATTAACACGAATACAATATTTACTAATTAACGAACATCAGAACAGATGCATGTATGTTATTAAAGTCATGATTTTTATATGATTGCAACAGTTCGAGGGATTTTAAGCGTTAAGACTTTCACATGTTGAAACAGGAGAGTTAAAAAATACTCTATTTGATTATATTATTGATTTCACAAAACTTAAGCTTGAGAAATGATACAAAACTCTCATCTGTAATTTTAAGTAAGCAATACATAAATTGTACCTAAATAATTGGCGGAATTGAGTACTTTCTCAAGTTTAAATAATTGTACTCCTTTTTAAATAAGTGTATAGTTAGAGCGATGGTTGGCAACCAATCCTCTGAGTGTTTATTGCCCGAGTGTAAAAATGTCGTAATGGATGTTCTACAAAATGAGCTTTGATAGATGTTACCTACCTAAAGGGGACTCGGAAGTAATTTCATACATAGAAAACGTTTGCCTTCACAATCAGAATTATATATTTTTTCTAATCTAATCTTTATTTCTTGACATGTGAAGTAACAATGTAGCATCTCTGTAGTACAGTATATTAATATTTATATTACTATATATTGAGTTGTTTTTTTACAATGTTAACATTTATAGATGATATATTTGATGAAATTATATTCATTATAAATGGGAATAATGAACTCAGGGCAAAGATGATTCACACTTCTTACAGGTTGATTGATTGAATATTAACGTCGCACTGTTCAACTACACGAGGGCTTTTGGCAACGAACCACGTAATTTTGAACCATGGTCAAGTGACGTGGACGACACCTGAGCTGGCACCCCCCTCTCCTAACTACCACACCACACAAACGGGAGGACGTTTTAGCTCTCGACAGATTTAACGTGCATCGCTGCCCTACACGGCGGGTCTTTAGTGGTACTGGGCTCGAACCCGTGACAAAGCAAGCCATGGTCCGATACCTATACCACTCGGCTACCGCGGCCACACACTTCTTATAGGATAACCAATGAAAGATTCAGGGTTTGAAAAAGTTATAAACTTGTTCGTTTTTAACTTTTTCGTTTCTTTTTTTTTCTGAAGGCTTTTGAGAATCTTTTGAAGATTAAAATAACTACATTTTTTGATATCCCTTAATGAGTGAAATCCTTTGAAATTTTCAATAACTTATTAAAATTCAGAGAGAAGAGAATAACAGTAATATTTTAATACCACTAATAGAAAACAAAGTATGTGCTACTATTTTTTTTTCTTTTTTAAAAAAAAAGCTGTTTTGATATTACATTATTCTTTTTAAAAATAACATATTTATAATTTTCTGTTTCACATCAAGTTAAAATCTTAACTCGTAAGAAAATAACCTTATTCAATGGTTTCTTAATTAGGTATTTTACATCATTGTTTTCATACAGGGTCTACAAAAAACAATTACTCGTATATTTCGGAAAACCTTTATATGAAATAATGGATCAATGACAAATTTTATTAAAATGATTTAATGATAACAATTAAAAATCTATCAGAAAATCAAGAGACTCAAGGCTAAAAAAATATTTTTTTAGACCATCTTTAGCTAACGAAAAAAATTTTCTGTCCGTATGAAAAATCATTATTTAAGCAGCAACTAATGTAGGAAAAAAACCCCAGTCAGTTAAATGTAGTCATTTTTTCAATTTCTACTTTTCGCTCACACTCTCTATTTATTTATTTATCTTCGTGGAATTTTCAATCGTTAATAAAATGCATTTTAAAGCGCTCAATTGAACTGAAATTTTGTATACATGATTATTTTGGATGGTAATGAAGTAATTTAATTATAATTAATAAAAATTAATTGATTTAAACTAATTATTCAAAAAATTACAAATACAGCCACGTTGGCAGCATTTTTGGCGACTTAACGACCATTTTGGCGACTTGTGTCAAAACATGAAAAGGTTTTTTTTTCTCACATTTTAAAGCGCTCGCTTGAACTGCAAAATTTTCTATACACTATTGTTTTGGGTAAAAATACGATAATTGAATTATAATTAATTAAAATCAATTGACTGAAACTAATTATTTAAAGAATTACAGATACAGCCAAGCCACGTTGGTTTCATTTTTAGCGACTTTTAGGTAAGTAGGAATTGACTTAAAATTTCTTTTTAAATTACTTATTTTTCTAAAGTGGGTAATTAATGTTGTTGTGATGAAATTTATTGTATTGAACGTTATTGTGCTGTTTATTTATATTTTATTTATCCAATACCCTTGCTTGGCTTCTTGACTATTTGTCTCCGAGCCTCCCAGTACCGAATGACGACTTCATCAGTCGGGTATTCATTGAGTTCAGTTCATTGGAGCAGGTGATAACCATCTATCCCAGCATGGCCACGGAGTGGGCAGGCCTCGTCAGCAGTCGGGCCAAGCCAGTGGAGGCATACTCCCAAAAAGTCATGTCCGGTGGTTAGGGGAAAGCGGGCAACAGCCTAGGCTATCACCAGGTGCCTTGGGATAGGACTCATAGTGACCCTCTGTTTCCAATGGGTTATTGCAAGGCTCTTGGCTTTTTGGGGTCAAGACAGTACATTTGTCAATGTATGTGGATATAAGGCTCTTTGCCCTTCTGGAGGTCAAGGGGATTTCCGATTGAGACCACTCGGTTATCTACTTGGCTTTTTGGTCTGCTCTCTCAATGGCGGGGATCCCAACATGACTCGGGACCCACTGTAGAGCTACAGTTCCGCCATATGAAATGTGTTGTGAATTATGTTTCAATAAGTAGATACAAGCAATAAAGTCTCCAGGGGTGAGGTGAGATTGATCTCCCACTGAAAAATAAAAAAAATATATTAATCTCAGTCAATCATATACAGTGGCGCACACAAGGAGGGGGTTCGGACCCTTCCCCCAAAGCCCTTGATTTTTTTTTTTTTTTTTTTGCGATTGATTATAATTCTAAGTACATAGTACGTAAAATTTAATTAAGTATTTGTTATTAATGATTAATTTTATTAATTAATGCTAATTTTTTATTCAATAATTAGTTTTTTACTGTGTTTTGTTCCCGAAAATCGACAAAATCAAAAGGAGCATGATACAAGAATGGTGAACTTTCGACCCCGGACTCCCCCTTGAAAAATTCCTGTGTGCA